GCGCCATCTCCGGCTCTGTTCTACGGTTCTGCTACGGAAGCAGCCAGCCAACCAACCATCCGTTCACCGTGCTCAACAAATCCGCCCCTTACCACTACTAGCACCACTACTAGCACCACCACCATCACCACAGACACTCACCCCAAGAAGGAAAAGAATCGCAAAGAGATGCCGTCTACAGTCAAGAAAGCCCCCGAAACTTGCCCGTCCCAGCCGCACGGTCCTCGACCCCGAATCGAATTGGACCCTTTCTGGAAGCTTAACCAAAGCGCCATCTGCCAATCGAAATCATCAACGACGACCGCAGCGGTCATGCTTCATACTTAATCTCGCAAGCAGCCCGTGAGACGCCATGCTCCTCTCCCCCCTTGGTCGTTTCTCCGGTGCTTCACAAGACCATTCTGCTCTGTACTCCCGCTGGTCAGAGCGCAATGGCAGTCTACAGAAGTCCCCTCGCGACCATCCATCCGTCCCAACACGGGTCCGTGGCTGAGGCCTGAAATGGTCAACCCATGGTCATCTTCATGCGGTTTGGAGCCTTCGCTGCAGTCCACGTGCTGGCTTGGCAATAGGCAAGGTGTGATGGCTGTGTTGCAGCACTACTTGATGCCCGACTACACTTGCTATACAGTAGTACGTGCCAGCATCGTCAATGCAGCATCACGATACAACGACGGAACCGTAGGCACTGGTATCCGTCCGTAGTCCGACCAGATTCCTTCTAACCGCCGCTCTCACTTTCTACAAGCCCAAGATATCACCGAGAAATCTTGGATGGCATCGGTGTGTGCGCCCGTATTCGATTGCTTGGTTCATGCGCGCAACACCACTCCCACATGTTATGGTGTGTACACAAACACACACATATGCATACGGATATACACACACGCTCACCCACTCACACATAGCGAAGCAGGAAAGGCACAAGAGAGGTCGAATGTCCCCTCCCTGCGAGTCAGCCCCGTGCAGAATCTGATGCATGGAAACATCTGAGACAGGCGGCTCGGGTTCGTGTGATGGCATCAAATGTATAGCTTTTTTTTTTCTTGACAGATAGCGCTGCCCGTGACACGTGGCTGCAATGCACGTCTCATGTCATGGGGAAAAGGCTATCTGGAGCCCTACCACGCTGCCACGCGTTATGATCTCGACCCTTCGCACGCCTCGCCTGCTTTCGTGCAGAAGGCTAATACTGGCAAAATGAACAAGGAGGGTATCTAACGAGCCGTTATAGCCCCCTTACCCCCCCCCCCCCTTTCCGCGGCCATGCTAAGTTGCTTGAGTTTGGTTCGTGTTTTGGCGGCTCGTTTCTTCGGGCAGGCAACGTTGATCGCCTCGAGGGCTTTCGTCGTGGCCGTGGTCAGTGCTACCTCATGCACATGGCAAGCCGCAAGCCGCACGATGCACGTTGTACACCGCTTCCAAAGTTCAGCAACAGAGTTGTTCTGGAAAGGCGAGACGAAGCAGGTCTCTGCTTGATTCATGAACCAGCGCAAGTTAATGTCACGCTGCAAGTACTAAAAGTGTAGGTACAGTCGGCTACAGCCACTCAGCTGCTATGTTCAGCCAACACCCATCCCGCCGCCGCCGCCATCCAACGCCATCACCACGTACCATTATCGTCATCAAAGTTACCTTTCGCCATGGCATCTTTGCCATGTGCTTGTGCAGCACAACCCATCCGACGCCACGGAGATGGTGTGCAGAGATGGGAGGGAAACGTGGCAACCCTAAGGCTTCCCCTCCGCTCCGTGGCGCTTGGAACTGCTGTTGCGGGCATTCGATGCGACGTGGCGTCGTGTTTCCATTCTTGTGCATCCGAAGAAGAGAGGAAAATGAGACTGTGAGACTGTAGGTGTGATGTGGGTGGCTGTGGAAGCACCTATGGAAGCATTTTGGAAGCTTCGAAGAAGGCGAAGAAGGAATTTACACTTTTACGCCGTTGCTCCAAGTTCGAGGTCTGTTCGTCTTTCGCGAACCAAAACTCACGAAAGTTCTCACCCCCACCGGGAATTCAGAGACAAGTCCCAGCCCAGCCCGGCCCAAGGCAAGGCAAGACCCGTGTGTCACGACATAGGGGAAAAGGAATGATGTGCCTTGGTGTGCTTGGCTACCGGTACCTGCGATGTGTGATACACCGCTCTCTCCTGGACGCCCGCGGACCCTTCTTGTTTCCCGATGGCGGACACGAGCAAGATGGATGGGGGGGAACCTAAGGGTACTGGTATGCCACGCCCATATGGATTCCAAACCACCCTAAAGTACGGATAGTCTACCTACTCTACTACTCACAAGCTTGCATCCCGTCTCAACGCCCGGCCGTCGCCCGCGTCCCCGATGGCGATGGCGATGTGTCCGTACGGGGAGTGGATATACGGCAGCGGCTAGTGCTGCGCCGGTCCCCTTGTCTGCTGCTACGCAATCCTGCGGCCCCCCATTAGAAGAACCACAGCACTCGGCCGGGTGGATTGTTGGATCGAGATGGCGTCCTGTAAGCTGTAGGACGTGCCTAACTCTGTCTGGCTTAGTCTAGCTTCCACACACCCTTCTAGAAGGACTTTCAGAAAAAGAAGGGACAAAGAAAAAGTAAAAAAAATCAAAAAATAAAATAAAATCGGAAAGCCGTGCGAAGGTATCGGTACATTGCCAGGCTCTCTAAATTTTGCCCATGATGCCCTGCGTGTGGCATATTGCGCATATGCGTATGCGTACGGAAAGTGTGGGAGACTAGACTTGAGACTTGGAAGAAGCGGAAAACAGAAAAACAACGCCATATGCAATCGCTTCCAACTAATTGGTCAATTGGCAACTTACCGTCTCTCTTCTACGTATCACTTCTAAAACTTTCCCGGCTTGCGGTTCCGCACTCTCATCCCCCCCTGCCTCCCAATCCCATCAATGATCTGGTAGGTATGCCATCCTTTCCATCCCATCCCCTCTCCTCCCCCCTCCCTCCTCTGATGAGAGCGTACGTAGTTACTCCGTAGTGTAAGCGGGCTTGCAGTTGCAGACACCGGGGGATTCAAGTCACCGCCGCTCTTGCCGCACCGTACTTTTCGGCGGTCGGGAAACGACGCCCACCCACAAAGCCCCCAACACGAACAGGCTTACAAGTTACAGCCCACACCGCTCGGCATTCTCCCCTTCCGGTTCGTAGCTGCGTTCACTTCGGGCATCTGCCCGGGCCAGCATTTACCCACTCGCAACATCAACGAAAGGTCCCGTCTCCCCGCCCCCTGGGCCATCCTTTGAACGTATTGGCGCCATCTTCGTAGCATACATCGTTGGTCATGGAAAAAGAAGGATTGGAAATCCGATACTAGCTAAAACGGCTCTATGCCGAATGGGCATGTTGTGGCCGGAATAGTTAGCACAGCAATGGCATGGCGTCTTGTTCGCGTTGAAGATGAATGGGGCCGCCGTTGCTGTTTTCTCGTTCCGCCGGGCGTGATAGTAGTACAGCGGAATAGAAAGACACACGCCCCTTGTCGGAGCGTCCGATTTCCTTTCTTTTCCCTTGATGAACTAGGTCCGCATCGGTCTTGTGCTCCGATCCTCCCCCAACGGTGCCCCGCGCGGCGATGGGAAGGGGGATGATGGTATCGTTTCCCGGGGGTCCTGGGGAGGGGCTGGGCGGAGTGCGATGGGCTTGAAACCTGTTTTTTTCGTATCCTTGGGCTAGTGATGATGTTCAACAAAGAACAAAATCGTATGATCAGGCTACGGGGTTGCTGTCTGCAATCTGTAGATATCCCCTACCCTGACAGACCAGGGCTGCGAAAATCGCGATCGAGTGCAGCCTCATCGTGATGTAGAGCCTGGTTGTCGACCATGATGCGTTCCTAATTCGCGATATTTTGTGCCTTGATGTAGAAAGGGGAGGAAACGACATGAAAGGGCAGACTGCAGGAGAGTGCTTCTGTTTGACTGTTTGCGCCATCAAAGGTCCATACATCATTCTCCATGGAGCATCGTCAATGAGCCTCTCCATATGTACAGTCTTACGATAAACTGAGTCTACCCTGTCCAAGAAAGCAGACGGGAATCGTTGCGCGTCGGGCAATCCTACTTCTTGTGATACTTCTCACTGCCTTGGCTGACACAATGTATATGAACCTCCTTTCATGAACTGTCGTCAAATGATATTCAAGACTACATGAATGTGTTTCCGAGAACTTGTGGCCTGCAGAGTATGCAGTCATCTCGTTGGTGGCGCACTGCGTCCAGGCAATACGATGCTAATTGAGCATGGGGTTGGTTGACTGTACCCCCTTTCAACCCCCCCCCCTGTGGTGTATCGTGACCTCCCCAGAGACGAAGATCAAGCTAATCAGCCAGCCTCTCCGACGCAGCTAGGGGGAGAGAGGTCGGTATAGGATTCAGCTGACTGCCTCTGATCCCCTGAAGGAGCTTCACAAGAGGTGGTTTGTGGCTGGTAGAGCATGCCCGCCGTCAGCAAGGCAATCTCCTCTCATGCGAGTGTTGCCCAGGGGTAGCTAGGAGCTTCGAGATGCTTAACTTTGGTGCTTGGGGGTGTGATTCTACTTCTAGGGGTGAATTGTCTAGTACTGTCTCGAGAGAATCATCGCGTGGACCAATCTGGCAGTGCCCGTGATGTCGGCTGTCAAGGTAATCGACTCTCTGTAGTGACCGTAAGACGGTCGTACTGTGTTCGCGATAGTGATCTATCTGGATGGTCTCTTGAAACTCGTAACATAGCCTGAACATTGTCTTTTCCTTTGGGTTGAACTAAGTCCTCTCTCTGAGAAACGTATCGTAGATGGGGTTTGACTCTCTGTAGGCATTAAGATACATGCACACTTGGCATTGATAAAGTGGTTCTTCGTCCTCCCGAGCGACGACAGGAACCCCCCATATCCAATGGCCCATCATCTCTTCACTTCTGAAGCTTGAGACCTCGGTCACGATCTTAGGTCGGATTGTGAGGGGGGCCAGGGCAGTTGCTATGCAGCGAGTTTGGCATACATTCGGGAAAGAGCTCACGCCATGAGATACTTCATATCACCAACAAGGAGACAGACAGACGGGATCTTCTGGATGATTGCTGTCAACGGGCAAAGGTATCGACATAGACCAGCCAACCGCAGTTCTGGCCCACTTGCTTGGTAGAGGTAGAACTTGTACAATGTGAGATGGAGACCACTTTCGGGAACCCAGGCTGACGTCCGTACTATCGGTACCGTCCATGTCTCTCCAATGTCTCGCGAGCTACAGGCAGGAACCGCAGATGGTTGTCGCATGCCTAAAGTATGTGTGTAGTAGATGAACATGCATGGATCGCCCTCACATGTATGTCCCGACGATGCGGGAGGTATGCCTCGAAACCAATAGTGATCATCAGGAACCATCACGAAAGCAGGGAGAGATCGATGGAGCATGTGAGTTGTGGTGGTTGTCTCAAGTATCGGGACATTCTTTTTACGCAACGTGGTGGTCTGGCCTATATCCGTAAACCCGTCACACCATACAGCGGCAGAGGAGATCTCCATCCCTCCCCGCCTTACGGGTACAAACGAGTCGATCATTCACCAGGGGGAGTGAATCTGGGAATAGTATCCGTACACTCCTTGCCCTGGGTCTCGACAAATGAGCAACCGACAAGATGTCACGGCTGCCGAGAAGACCCCATCTCGCGAGCATGTGGTCCGTTCCCACACTCCCGCCTTCAGTGGTGGATCTTGATGAGGAAACATGATTGTGGACATGGATATTTCCAAAAGGAACGAATCAGCCACCGTGGTGGATTGTCTTACGCGAGTTTGTGGTGTATTCGGACCACCCCGCCTCGGGAACCAAGCCGGATGAGCGGGTGACTGCATGGCCTCGCGCTGCTGTCTCGGCAAGAGAGAGAGACCCCTACATGGGTGCCAACACAGTCCCTATCCTTCTCAGAGTCTTGTTAGTGTGACTTAGCTATACCATGTAGAGAACGAACTGAAAGAGGTGGCTGAAAAGAGTAGTGATAGCGAAAGTGGGAGAAATAGTGACAAAGGTAGCGGTAGAAACAGAAACTCAGGATGTGCTGAGCGGCAGATCATTGTCGCCCTCTTGTCAGACTCGGGAAAGAGGCGAATGGTCATTGGATCCTTGTTTTTGGCTACTTATTTCAAGTTATGCCCAGTTTACAGCCGCTCACCGAGATGGAGATGATGGATACTCGGGAAAGATTCGGCATTGTGGTATGGAGATATAGCGGAGCTTGCCGATGAAGATAGACATCTGGGGAAGCTGGGGGAAATGATCACCCGCTTGATGATCATCAGGGCAGGGCCGTAGCGCCAGTGCAGCTTGATCGGATGTGGTGGCTCGGCCCGTTGATATGACCTCTAAACCACGGCATGACTCCGTGGACCGGCTCTCCGGGGTATATCAGTAATGGAGTCCCATCCCGACGATGCAGCACAGACGTCCGGGCCGTATTCTCATCGGATTCAGGCAAATGCGGGGCATGCTGTCGACTCAGCAATCCCGTGGTTCCCCTGGCTCGGCTGTCACGCGCGGGAACACGGCAGCTCGGAGGCGAGAAAGAAAGAGATGACAAATGTGATTTCTTTTGCAGGTACGTGCAGCTCCAGGGAGTCATTCAGGTCTAGTAAGGGTAGAGACAGCCCGAATATTCTGTCTCCATTGCTGAGAAGACGGGATACACCATCCTCCTACTGTGCCCTGAGTCCCACGATCATCAGCCTCCATCTCACAAGCAGTTACCCAGTTACCCGATGACGGGACTGTGGCACTAATATGAAACCTACAGATGAGGCCTTGCGAGCTTGCGTTCACCTAAATGCGGCATATCTGCGGCTCGGGGAGTATCGGCATCGTGTCATGGCTGGTTGGGTCCGCTTCCCTTAGCCGGGTCCGATTCGATGCATCGTTTTCACAGGAGAAGTTGTCACTGTCTGTAATACGAAGTTTGCACTGTTCAGCGACACGGCAGAAGCCCGCGATAATATCGCCAAAAGGCCGGGTAGTCTCCGGCAAAACTGAGACACCCGCACGCCTTCTCCGCGCCAAAGTTGTCTGACGGGATTTCGGGACGATGTTCAGCTTCGCCTCCAATGCCAATGAGCCAATCCAGAGCTTTTGGATGGGCACTCAACTGGAGAAATGACGCTAAAAGGGGGAAGCCACCCGAGCTTCTCCCGGTGAATGAGGGGCAACAAGCTCCCACAACGTGATAACGTGGGGTAGAAATGCGCTACCGACCAGACGGGCGGTCGCCATTGACGCACCTGACCGCGTCTTTCAAGGTCTTGGGGTTTCTAACATCTCTGGGCATCCGTTCCTTCGTTCTGTGTATTGGTAATTGGGAGGAACAGCTCTCCACCTTTCTTTCTCCCCGGCTGAACTGCATGGAGGGGCGCATAGCAGCATGACGGGAGAGACAGAGAAACAGCCGCTGCTAACCTGGTTGCTAACGGATACTGCATGCAAACATGGCCTTCTGATTGCTTGCTTGCTTGCCGTTCCCCCCGCCGCCTTCCCGGCATCGGTGTATCTTCCTCCATCTACCTAGCTCGTCACCCAGAAACACGCGGGACCTCAAAGTGGGTTGCTGGTCTCTCTTCCCGAGCTAAGGTATCTTTAAGCCAAGTAAGAAGAGGGAATCCTGTCCCGCATCGTCCGGAGTTGTTCCGTTGTCCACAAGCTCGTCAATCTTCTATTTAACAGCGCGATCCTGCTGCGAAGATGTTCCGGTCCTCCCTCTCGATCTTGCTTCCCGGCGCTTTCTATCACCAACCTTTCTTGTCTGTTCCTCTTTACTCCCTTTACTTCCTCTCCAAGTTTGAAACCGGCCAGTCGTAGAATTGTAGTTGTTCCAAAGATACCCCTATCCATTCTTACAGTCCAACGTTTGACGAGCCCACAATGGCCGACTTTGACGTCGAAGACGTGCTCAAGAAGCTCACCGTCTCTGAGAAGGTCGACCTTCTCGCCGGTAAGACTGCTCCCGTCTCTTTTGGGGGGTCACTTTTCACCCCAATTGCGGACTCTTCATTACAGCCCTCGACGAGACCTAATGACAAGCTAACATTCGATTCTCCCCAGGTATCGACTTCTGGCACACCAAGGCTCTGCCCAAGCACAACATTCCCTCCATCAGACTCTCCGACGGACCCAATGGCGTGCGCGGCACCAAATTCTTCAATGGCATCAAGGCAGCTTGCTTCCCCTGCGGAACGGCTCTCGGTGCCACCTTCAACATCGAGCTCCTCGAGGAGGCCGGCAGGAAGATGGGAGAGGAGGCCAAGCTCAAGGGGGCTCACTGCATTCTAGGCCCTACCATCAACATGCAGCGGTCCCCTCTCGGTGGCCGAGGATTCGAGTCTATCGGCGAAGACCCTGTGTTGGCTGGTCTCGGCTCCGCCGCCATTGTGAGAGGTATCGAGAGCACTGGTATCCAGGCGACGCCCAAGCACTTTGTGTGTAACGACCAGGAGCACAGGCGCAACGCCGTCCAGAGCATCGTGACGGAGCGCGCCCTTCGCGAGATCTACGCGCTTCCTTTCCAGCTTACCTTCCGTGACGCCTCACCGGGTGCGCTCATGACTGCCTACAATGGAGTCAACGGCACATTCTGCAGTGAGAACCACGATCTGCTAGAGAAGCTAGTCCGCAAGGAGTGGGGCTGGGACGGCATGATCATGAGCGATTGGTACGGAACCTACAGCACCACGGAAGCGGCTAATGCCGGTCTCGATCTCGAGATGCCTGGACCTCCTCGCTTCCGTGGAGAGCCTCTTAAGTTCAATGTGTCGACGGATAAGGTCCGCCAGCACATTCTCGACGAGAGAGCTCGCGCCATGCTCAAGTTCATCAAGAAGGCTGTGGCGACCGGCATTCCCGAGGGTGCCCCTGAGAAGACGGGCGACACCCCAGAGACCGCCGAGTTGTTGAGGCGCATCGGTGGCGAGAGTATCGTCCTGCTCAAGAACGATGACAACGTGCTGCCCCTGAAGAAGGACAAGAAGGTGAGCATGTTCTCCGAGTATACACGTCTTTCACGAAAGTACACACACTTACTTTGAGACTCACAGACAGTTGTCATTGGCCCTAACGCCAAGATCGCCACCTATCACGGAGGTGGTTCCGCCTCTTTGGCTGCCTACTACTCCGTCACCCCCTTCGACGGCATCAGCAAGAAGCTCACCTCACCCCCGGAGTACACAGAGGGCGCCTACTCCCACAAGCTCCTGCCCCTCCTCGGCAATGTCTGTACGTCAGTTGACGGCAAGCCCGGCATGACCATGCGCGCCTACAACGAACCCCCCACGGACCACAGCCGCGAGGCCATCGACGAGCTTGTCCTCACCAAGACGGAGCTTCTCCTTGTCGACTACTACAACCCCAAGCTCAAGGGCGACCTCTGGTACGCCGACTTTGAGGGCTCCTTCGTCGCTGAGGAGGATTGCACCTATGAGCTCGGCCTCATCGTTTGCGGCACGGCCAACCTCTTTGTCAATGACAAGCTTGTCATTGACAACTCCACCAAGCAGCGCCAGGGCGATGCCTTCTTCGGCGCCGCCACCGTTGAGGAAAAGGGGCGTGTCGAGCTCAAGAAGGGCCAAAAGTACACCTTTAAGGTCGAGTTTGGCTCGGCCCCGTCGTCCAAGTTGCAGGGCGACAACGTTGTCTTTGGCAGCGGCGCCCTCCGCATGGGAGGATGCAAGGTCATTGACGACAAGGCCGAGATCGAAAAGGCCGCCGCCCTCGCCAAGGACGCCGACCAGGTCATCATCTGCTCCGGTCTCAACGCTGACTGGGAGACGGAGGGCAACGATCGTGCCGACATGGACCTTCCGGGCTACCTCAACAAGCTCATCTCCGCCGTTGCCCAGGCGAACCCCAACACGGTCGTCGTCAACCAGTCCGGCACCCCGGTGCGCATGCCGTGGGTCAAGGACGTCAAGGCCCTTGTCCAAGCGTGGTACGGCGGCAACGAGACGGGCAACGCCATCGCCGACGTGCTCTTTGGCGACGTCAACCCCTCGGCCAAGCTCTCGCTCAGCTTCCCCGAGCGCGTCCAGGATAACCCGGCCTACCTCAACTACCGTGCCGAGGCCAGTCGCACGTTGTACGGCGAGGATGTCTACATTGGCTACCGCTACTACGAGTTCCTCGACCGCCCCGTGCTCTTCCCCTTTGGCCACGGCCTGTCGTACACGACCTTTGGCTTCGGGGACCTCCAGGTCCGCGAGGCTGACGGCAAGCTCGCCGTGGACGTGACGGTCAAAAACACGGGCAAGGTGGCCGGCGCTGACGTCGTCCAGGTGTACGTTGCACCCAAGCAAAAGGCAAAGATTAACCGCCCGCTCAAGGAGCTCAAGGGCTTCGCCAAGGTGTCGCTTGCGCCTGGCGAGAGCAAGCAGGTTACGGTCAACATTGAGACCAAGTACGCCGCCGGTTACTTTGACGAGGAGCGGCACCAGTGGTGCGCCGAGGAGGGCGAGTACGAGGTAATTGTCAGTGACAGCAGTGTCATCACAGACAAGGCCCTCAAGGGCAGCTTCAAGGTCAGCGAGACCTTCTGGTGGTCTGGTCTGTAGAGACGTCTATGCGTCACGATGTAAAAAGCAGGGAGCACCGGTTGGGAGAAAATGTTCAGGATACACAAGATTGAATGAATGAATGATTGATATTTATGCATGATAATTTGCTTCGTAGTCCAGCCAGAAACGTCCCTTTGATAAAGATATTAATGTTTAGATGTATCCGTCGCAATGTCATGCTGCGTCATATCTTTCGTGTATTCGTAATCGTCACACGCCAATTTCAGGCGATATGTCCGAGAAACTTTGGAATCACAAACAAACTCCCTGCCGATGATCAAATGCAAACCTCATACTGCGACCTACGCCGCGCTTTCGCTCTTCCGCCTTACATCCTCATCCGAGCTCGGTCTTATACTAGACTCGCTTGGTTGTGAATCAGTTGGGGGTAGCCAAGGCTCGGCGTCACCCAGTCTTTGAACAGTCATGCCTGCGTTCCCGGCATTCTTCATCCCGGATTCGAGCTGACGCTGATAAGAGATGCGACGAAGGCGCTCAGCTTCTGCGGGTGTCAAATGAAGCTGTTTTATCTCGTTAGTCTTCATCCCTTGCAGAATTCAGAATAGCGACACGCAAACCACCAGGAAGTGAGGAACCATGAAACGAGGGAAGAGAGGAGTGGGGGGGGGGGGGGGGGGAAAAACGAAAATTTAAAAAAGGAAAGGGGGGACCCCCAAGGGGGCCCAATGTCCCCGAAAAAAAACGGGGTGGAACCCGGGGCGGAGGGGGGGGGGGGGGGGGGGGGGGGGGGGGGGGAGACATACGTAAATTTCAACAAGGATAGCGTGGATCACCAAGGCGAGCCATGATCCCGAATCAAAGACGGCTGTGAACCCGGCTGAAATCTCGGCAGGCTGGTGAGCGGTGATGCTGGCGTGGACAAGGACGCTGAGGCCGGGGTTCTCCCCCGAGTAGTAGCCGTCGCAGCCAGGATAGAAGCCGAGGACTTTGTTCTGGTCGTGACGGAAGATAAAGTCCACCATAGCGCACTGCTTTACTTGATAGTAGTTCGACTCAGCCGTGATCATGGCAGCGAGGTACCCAATGATGCGCATCGTGATGATGAAACCGGCCTGTGGGAAAGAACAGCTTCGTTAGCCCACGTGCAGCGGAAGAGTACGTGTCTTTCTTTCTGTTGGAACAAGTGATATCTTACGTATACCCAGGCTCTGAGCATCCATGCCCGGTGCTGCTCGATCTGGAGTTTCTTGATGTTGTAGATGGCAAGGGCAAGGGCTCCGAGGAACATGAGGCTGGCGGTGCCAGAAACAGTCTGCATGCTCACGCCACCGCCAAACGTCCGCCGTGCAATGAGAAAGACACCAATGATTCCCACTATACTCAGGAGAACGATGAGATACCCATTAAGGCGATGAAACAGGATAGCCTTGCGACGTATGACAGGGACGAATTGTAGACAGGCAAGAAAGCCTGCCGGTATGACACCCGCGAGGTGCATGATGATTCCGATCCGTGCCGTGCCCTTTTGAAAATAGTAGCACTCTCCCGGGAGCGCCCTCGAGTCGTGCGCCGGATTACAGAAGACGCCGTTGAAGTTGAAGTACATCATGCGGGCGAGTGTGAACCCCATCATACCCCCCGCGGTGATGACAAAGAGGGTGAAGCTGTACCCCTTCTTGAACCCGATGGGATTATAGACCTTGCGCGCCAGGGCAACGAAGCCGTTGGCTGGAGGTTTTGAGCATGGAGAAGAAGCTGTCGACATGATGGGAGGTGATTCTCGTGAGATCACGCGAGATCGGGGTGAGCTGAAGTGAGACAGCGCCGCCACTTTTCTCGCTTCCTTCTGTCTGTTGAAGAACGGGGGAAATGAGCTGCTCAGTCACAGATGAGCCTGAGCTAGGTTTAGGAGAGGGGATGGCCCTCATCATATATGCTCAAAAGGAAAGTTCTGGCCCTGAACAGTTGCCGGGGTCTTGAGCCAAGAACCCAAAGGATGAGAGGCGTTGCCTTTCTTTGTCAAAAGCAGGGGTTAAGGGCAAACAGCAAGTAAGAGCGGGCGAATGGCTGTACGCGATTGTCCACAACGCAGCAAACAAGGCAGGGTATGGCAGCATCAACCACCGGTTCTCCCGTAAAAGACGCATCATGGGGGCTGAGAACGTAGGATTGGTCGTCTTGACAGCACACCGAAGCCATGTCTCACGTGTTGCATGGCACCATGAAATGCGGACAGGCTTAGCTTGGAGAGTGCTTCCACCTGAGGACGTTGCAACTTTGCCCGACGTATTTCCCTCGGCCGAGTAGGTGGGAACAAATGGCCCTTTCGAGGACTGGAGCATACTTCTAGACATGCGATGGGGGCTGCTCCAGCCTCCTCGGTGTCGGGCGGCTAGATGTCAGAAGCTCGAAGCATGGGGCCCCCCTAGAAGCAGGTTACAGGTGGCGTCCGGGAAGGCATTACGGGACCTGAACTAAGAAGCCTACCGGTACAGCCAAAGCAGCCAGCGGCAAAGAGGATCAATGGCGGCAAGGGGACGGACTAGGCTCGACCTCGCGAAGCCTCTCGCAGTCGTAAGCAGTGCTCGGCCATCTTTGATTGCCTTTTGACGGGTGGGAAAAGGCCTGACGTGCATGTTGGTGTGTGTTGTACGGCATGCGGCCGTACGGACGAGATCGAATGCAAGCGGGCCGCATTAGTGCCGATACGGAGGGCGGGGCCGGGTCAGGAAGAGGCGAGATGGTTTAATGCGCCCCGTAGCGGTGTGCATGTGCCTCATCGAGGTTCGTCACATTTATGATCCATCGTAGGACCGTATAGGCGGAATCCGGGCCTTCGAAACGTTGCAGGATGGTCTGCGAGCAACGAACCGCGCTGCAGACGGCTGTTCGCCTCGCATTTCGCCGCTGCCGGATGCGTGCCCGCAACTGCGATGCGACTGCCGCAGTCTTCCCGCGCAGATTAGACATATACGATTAGGTAGCTAGGCGACGAATAGTGAGCGACTTGGTAAACCGTTGGTAGGAAATAGGCCCCGGTTGACCAAACTACATACCTCGTCTTTCAATATCCTTGAGAGCCGGGGATACAATGAATAAATTGTCCCAAATCTCAAAGAAGCGAGATTCACCTTCCACTGGTCTGCTGGGCCACATTGGCCTAGCAGCTAGGCAGTCAGACGGCGGTTTGAAGTTGGCAAACAGGCAAGCAAGGGGTCTCTATTCGGTCATTTGCCCACTTGTTTTGGGTGGACGGTGACCGACCTAGACCGTTGATGGGCGTTGAGAATTGGAGCTTTGACGTGGAGTGAGGAGGTTAGCAAGCATGGCGAGGAGGGGAACCCGATTTTTGGGCAGAAAAAGGAAGCATAAAGTGGCCCATCGCCGAGGCTTCTTCTCCTTCTCCTTTTCATCGCGCCATCGAATTTTTCCACACTAGTGTCTGGTTGACTGAGGTAGGAGGTAGAAGTCCGTATAGGCAGCTGCGCAGGCGTGATCGAATATGGAAGATATCCGTACTTATGCAACTGAAATCAACGTGAAAGACAGGAATAGGTAGAGGGAGAAGAAGACGGGGGATAGACGCCGGAGAGAGGCACAGAGGTTGGAAGGTGCTAAGGTACGTACCCATTCGAGTGTCCACCACCTCACCTTCCATCCTGGTTCGCTAATATGGAAGGTGAGGTGGGTCATTCGGTATCCACTCCCTCCGCCAACTCTCGACTCACGCGTTGCCGTCCTGCCGCATCCGCACCCGCGCCCCGGCCGCGCCTCCGTCCGTCCTCAATCGGCCCACGTCTCATCTCATCTCACCTGAGATCTAAGCATCCAAGTAAGCTCCTGCCAAACACGCATTCCACGCAACACTCACACAATTCAAGACAAGTTGTCAACCTGTCAATCTCTTTCTTTCGCCGAGTTTATTGTTTTTCTTTCCATCTCTCCCCTGCTTGCCTCTCAAGATGGCCCAAGCCCCCCTTCCACCCACCGTCATCGCCCAAAAACAATCTTTCCTCGCTACCCAGGCTCGTCTGCTCTCCCGACCCCTGCAACCCTCTCGTGCATGGCTCGCCGCCAACGAGGCCGCCGAGTCCTCCATCCCGGACCCCGTCGTCGAGCACGTCGCCGCCCGCCTCAACACGACCTTGCTGCAGCACTCGCGACGCGCCTACTCTCACCAAGCGAGCCGTCACGTCGCCGAGCAGATTGACGCGTTGTACCTATCTCAACTGTCGGCCGCGCGAAGTGACTCCTCCGAGGGTCTATCCCTTTCTTTGGACCTGTGTATGTTCTGTGTATTCCGCTCCGTGTAGCGCCAAAGACTAATGGGAAAAACCACGAAAGCCGAAGAGACTGCCGTAAGGTCGCTTCCCTTGGCCTGGCCAGCCGGGCGTGATGCAACTAGCTTTCCTATGGAAGCCAAAAGGTACGCTGAAGTCGCTGGCCGCTTGAAAGAACTCGCCGAGAAGAGGCAGCACACCAGAGCTCGTGTTGAACGGCTACGGCGCATGAAGGCACTACTTGATCCCTTCCGCACCGGAGATGCCGGCGCGGGTGTGCAAGAGAATCTCGTCACCCGCGATGGCGAGATTGAAAAGGAGATGGAAAAGATGCGTGCCCTGCTGGCTCGTGTAGGTGGTCGTGTAGGACTTCTACCCAAGTCCACCGAGTCTGCAGACCTGCTCAAAGAGGGCAACTCCTTGATTGTAGAGCCTGTAGCTACAGGAGAGAAGCGCAAACTTGACGACCTTCTCGGCAGCTTCTGACTGGCCACACAAAGAGGCCCAAATTGAATTTCAAAGAGCACCTGTGGGAAAGCAACGGTAGGGTAGCTCAGGCATAAGGATTTTGTGTTCAAGTTGTATAGTGGCGTTAGGTTCTAGGCTTAAAGGATACCCCCGGATTTATGAAAACTACTTTTTTCCCCTGTAATCCCGGCACGTTCATTCTGGGACGTATATCAAGCTTGAAAGTCGAACGTGTACCCCAGGGAATCAACGCCAGGAGTCGCTCTTCGTTTCTTGCTAGCATCAGAGCGAGACAGCTTTGAAGCATCGCTGAGGTCCTCACTGGTAGGCCGGATACTCTTCTTTCTCTGTTTGATTTCTCCTTCCAGCGTGGCATCTTTGGCACTGTCATCCACGTCCAGACCTTTTGACTTCTTGTCACCTGGCTCTGCGGTTTTTGGAACTGCCTCCTCTTGGGGATATAAGCTTGGCCGCACAACCCGAAGGTTGCTAATAACCTCTTCTTGATCTTCATCCGTTACCTTGGAGTACACTCGAAGTCCCACTACAGCCACAGCATTCCATGGATCTCTCTCAAACTCGTCTTGTTCCTCGGCAGGCGCACCAGGGGGTGGCTGCGGGGGCAGACGGTCTGTACTGGGCTCCCGCTTTTCAACAGCGTCAATTTCAAGCTCCAGTTCCCGCTCAGAAAGTTCCGACATGGATGATACACTTGCAATGCCATCGTCGTCTGACTCGCATGGGTAAGGTGCGGAATACTCCGATGGGGGTGCTTCTTCACTCATCACCTCTTCGACATCTTGAAGGGTAGCCTCCTGCACCTCACTTCTGACTTTGACTACCTCGCGCCTATCGCCTCTGGAACGCTTGTTTGTAGGTTTCGGAGGTGTCAAAGATCCCGGGCTTCTCTCGGTGATTTGTTCCAGCATTTCAGCCGACTTAAAGACTTGAGGTATCGCTCTGTCTTTGTGGCGGGGGGAAATCGGCACGTCCTCACCTGCCATGGTACCTGAATTGGTTTGGCTGCCCGCTCCTCGCGAATCGTTTGACAAAGACAAGTTTTTGGTTGCAATCTCAAGAGTTTCATGTTCGGCTTCCTGGATTGTGACTTTGGCCACAGGGCTTGGTGGGTTTGGAATCGGCTCAGATTGCTTCGGCGGAAGGGGATTAGCTAGCCTTATATGTGCACGTAGCTTCTCTTTCGCTGCCTGGTGTTGTGCGATGCGTTTCGCCTGCTGTTTCTGAGCCTTTCTCTTGGCTTTGATCCTGAGGTAATGCTCCTGTTCTCTCTCTTCGAGGATCTTGCGCTTGATCTCGGCACGTCGCTTTTCCCGATGTCTCCTCTCATGTGCCTCTTTAGCCGCCTTTTCCGCGGCCGACTCGACAAGTTTTCCCTTGCTATGAGCAAGGTCATAGGCCAACCCTATCCGGATCAGCTTCTCTCGGCGGTTTTTGGCATTGTTGCGAATCACTTGGTCGATGGGAAGTACGCCATCGTTCCGCACCGCATCTAATTTGACAAGAACCTCGTAGCTACCAGCTTGAAGGTCGAGTTCAACATTCACAGATCGGTTCATGCGGTAGGATGCTTGACTCCGAACGACATAGTCCTCTTGGCCGGCTTTGTGCAGACGGAGTTGCAAATCAAACCGGTATTGACCTTCCAAACCACGGAAGTATCGATCGTCTAGTTGCGCTAGTACGATCACAACCGGGCCCGACTTGGAGATTGTAAACGCGAAATACGTTTCGTGGTAGTCCAGGGTCCATGGCACTGATAGTGTTGTCCAAATGGATGTAACCTTCCACTCGGGACCGAATAACCGGGTAACATCAAATATGTTGTATTTTTTGAGGAGATCGTGGTACGAAATCCAGAAGGCGCCGTCGTCGCCAAACGTATGTTTGAGTTTCTGCAACCACTCAGGGGTCCATTCTTTGGAGCCATCGCCTGCTAATGGTCAGCGCGAGAACGGTAAGACATTATATCTCGAAGACGGAACTCACTCCAAGCTCCTTTCCATTCACCCTTTCCCCAGGGATTCTTCAGTAGAACCAGCCTTTGGCCATCCATTTCGACAGCCTTCATGACGCTGTAGGCGTGCATCTCGATAAT